CCCCCCCCCCCCCGAAGCCTGGTAGAGGCTAATAAAACTCTACCTAGTACAGCCTGGCCCCGACTTGTCGCCATTTTGGTCGTCATGGCGACGCGTCTGGCCCGTACCAGACACGGTTAGGGTCTCCCGGACACGTGAGAAGATCTGTCGTGCTAAGTACACATGCGCGAGACTTTCCCTCAGGTGAATCCTTTGTGTAGCTGCTTTTGTGCTCATTCTGTGGATTACAGTGGACGACAACACTCGCACTTTTCCTGCAGGTATGTCTATACGATTTACATGGTGTATGAAGGGTATCATATCTTACTCTCCAAAAAAAAAAAAGAATTAAGCAGAGGTTTGGGGTTATTTTTGGCGTTTTTAGGCTTTTTTAATTTGGGTTTCTCTTTTGCACTGGAATTTTTTTCACCCAAGCCAAAAAATGACAGTACAAAAGAGAAACCCCGATAAAAAAAGCCTAAAAATGCCAAAAATAACCCCAAACCCAAACCTCTACTTGGAGAGTAATCATATCTCTTGCTTCTGTCTCTCGTGATCGCCAAAATATAATGATAATTCTGCATTCAACGTTCATAAATCTCCGTGGAAGGAAAAAAAATAACGGGCGAACAGGCTTTAGAAAAGACGTGTTGGGTAAGTATACGGTGTCGACGTTTAGTTATTATAATCACTGCACTGGTAGCCGTAATGTTCAGATCTGATGGGTGCTGTTTTCACATTTCATATTTCGTGATCGCCAAAATGACATTATCATTCCAGTTCGAATTCCGCATTAATATTTAACGTTCATAATTTGTGGAAGGAGAAAAGTGGCCAGTACACTTTACAAATTGGGTAAGTACAGTGTGTCAACAGTTAGACCAAGGACATTAATTATACAAGATGTGCTTGGACGTTTACTGGTTAAGTTAAGAACTGGTAGCCGTGATGTTTTATAGATAGCTGGGTCCTGTTGTCACATTCTGGTTGCTCCCGATTTCAAAATCAATGGTCGAAACATGCGTAAGTGAATTTCAGAATCAACAAGGATGAAGAGTCTACTACGAGTACTATAATATATTAAGCTGGTTGTTCGTTTTAGCCGGTATGCCTTTCAGTATAATTCCCAAGTAGATACTAGAGGGAAATATTGTCGTTACGCTACCTTCAGGAGAACGTGCACCATTGCAAGTTCAGTCCATCTTGCCGATGTGTTGTACATTGTATGTAGCCAGAGAGCCCGACGTATATCTTCAGCCACTCCCTAAAAGTAACCATCGGCCATGCCACGATGTTGACATCGGAGTCACTGACCCGTGTCCGGTCAGCAGGTAGTGAGATGTCGTGCCAGGTACTACTAGAAAGGGTCCGACAGAAGCTTGTCCGGTAGCTATAGCGAGAGGCAGTGTAGAAAATTCCAGACAGGTAGCTATACTGAGAGGTAGTGCCAGGTATGGTGCTCGAGAAAGGTCCACAGGCAGGTAGCTATACTGAGAGGCAGTACCAGGTATGTATCTGTATCTGTATCCGTATCTGTATAGCCGGTATAACCGCCTTTCGGCGTAACACACCAGCTTGTAGAAAATTCCACAGACAGATAGCTATACTGAGAGGTAGTACCTGGTACGGAGCTCGAGAAAGGTCCACAGACAGGTAGCTATACTGAGAGGCAGTACCAGGTATGTATCTGTATCCGCATCTGTATAGCCGGTATAACCGCCTTTCGGCGTAACACACCAGCTTGTAGAAAATTCCACAGACAGATAGCTATACTGAGAGGTAGTACCACCAGGTACGGAGAAAGGTCCACAGACAGGTAGCTATAGTGAGAGGTAGTACCAGGTACGTAGAAAGGTGGGTACTACCGTAGCTATACTAACAGGTAGTACCAGGTACATAGAAAGGTCCACAGAAAGGTAGCTATAGTGAGAGGTAGTGCCAGGTATGTATCTGTATCCGTATCTGTATAGCCGGTATAACCGCCTTTCGGCGTAACACACCAGCTTGTAGAAAATTCCACAGACAGGTAGCTATACTGAGAGGTAGTATCACCAGGTACGGAGAAAGGTCCACAGACAGGTAGCTATAGTGAGAGGTGGTACCAGGTACGTAGAAAGGTAGGTACTACCGTAGCTATGCTAACAGGTAGTACCAGGTACGTAGAAAGGTCCACAGACCGGTAGCTACTGAGAGGTAGTGCCAGGTACGGAGCACAGACAGGTAGCTATACTCAGAGAGGTAGTGCCAGGTACGGAGCTCGAGAAAGGTCCACAGGCAGGTAACTATACTGAGAGTAGGTGACAGGTACGTAGAAAGGTAGGTAGTTATACTAACAGGTAGTACCAGGTACGTAGAAAGGTCCACAGACAGGTAGCTCTAGTGAGAGGTAGTACCAGGTACGTAGAATTTAGAAAGGTCCACAGACAGGTAGCTATACTGAGAGTGAGTGTAAGCCACGTAGAAAGATTGGACCAATTGAATATACTGTCACACGGACAAAAGTTGCTCTAACAGGTGTCTTTAAAATAACTCTTTAATTCGTACAGGGAATGTCGTGTCCCAGTATCTGGGTCACAGTACTGTGGGTCATTCCACTCATAGAGGCACGCAAAAAGGGAGGGTACGACCGAAATACTATCCGTGTACAGAAACAATGAGATATAAGAACCTCCATTGTTCCATACTTGGTACAGACATAACCTCTTTTGTCAACTCAAGGTCACTCCGTTAACCCTCAACAGTACACCTTCCCGGACTGATTAATCTGTACACCTGGGGTCCGCGCGGACCCCAGAGCAGTTTTTTGCTAATTTTTAGAAATTATCAACATGCTACCAGCTCAATTGTTTTGCAAACTGATGTGGGAACCTCTGTGTCCACATTACATACAAAAATCATACATTTTGAACTTTTTCTATTTTTTGGTGAAGAAAAGAAGATAAGAAGAAATACCCGATTTTTAAACCCATTTCAGACTGAAGGGGCTTTTTTAGGCCCAACTTTGATCTCAGATAGCGGCTAAACGGCTTGCGCTAGAAGTATCAAATTTGGAGACCTTTCCTAAAATGTCTCTGGAAAAAAGTTCATATTAGTTTGATACTAGTAAGTTGATGTTTTTTGTGTTGCCATGGCAACAGGCAGTTTTTTTTTAAATAGATGTAGATTTGGTTTAAACATGAAAATTTTCTGAGTTTTATATTAAATTACACTTCTTTTCCAACATTAATAACATCTTACATAATTAAATATAAGTTAAATCATTTAATATACATAGAATATGCTAATTTGATGACGTCATTGGTCAAAATCCAATATGGCGGACTATATTATTAGCCCTAACGTCATATGACGTCATAATTACACCAAAGTTATTAAAATTTAATTCTATTACTACACCATTCTCTGAAAACTTGGTAGACATACGATGAGTGCATAAAAACATATAAAAACGGAAATAAGGTAATGTACATGTATAAGAACGCCAATGTATCCATTATGATCGAAAGCCGGCTGGGGTCCGCGCGGATCCCAAAAGAAAATCAGATGTAATTTTTTTTTATAAATGGTAGAAACGGAGTTTTCTGCACTGTATTCAGAGACAACTTTGTGGGTGACAATTACCTAAAATTTCATAAAAAAATCTTTAGAAACAAAAAAGATATTACAGAATATATAGTGCTGGGGTCCGCGCGGACCCCAGGTGTACTGTTTAGGGTTAAGTCCTCAAAAGGTCGCCGTAATTTATTTACACCTTGTCAGAAAGATAATCTGGCTGAAGTTGAAGGTAGCCTAGTCTGGTTAAATCGTGCTTCCGGGGATCCAATGTCTAGCGAGAGATAATGCGCGACAACCAAAGTGAAGCCGTGCCGTTTCTTATTCCAGGATCCGCTAGTTTCTTTACGTACTTTCGGCTATCATGTTGTATATATGTAAGGGATGTGTCTGGCTCCACACGTTTAAGTACATGTAATTATAAGTTGTCTTCTTTTCCTTTTTCCATTCATACATGTTTATGGTTTATTTGTACCCCTGGTATATGTTGCTCTTTTGCTGTGTTCTTCGTTTTTTGTATATTATAAAGACAATAAGAATGCATGTATAAAGGGAATGGGTTTCTGTACATCTACTAGCTGTTGTTCGTCCGTCGAGTCGACGATAACCATTTGACATCAGCTTTTGTGAGTCCGCTTGTGGCTTACCAGTCCTATACGGGCTTTGATGGTTCTGCCAAAGGTCGGGCACAGGTGGGATAGTAGCATTAACTACATGTACATGGCTAACTATACATTCTCATGGATTGTTTTTTCATGATCTAGGTACTCTCTATCTACCATGATGTTGCGGTTGTGTGCAGTCCTTGTGTTAGCCGTCCTGCCGGCCACAGTGCTGGGTCTCTCCGCGGACGAGATCGCCGCCTTCACGGCCCGTACCCACACGGAGATCAACACGAACATGCAGGGGACGGTGTCTGTCACGCAGGACGGCGACACGCTGGTTCTGACGTCGAACGGGATCCCCGACCACGCCACGTGGACGTTCCCCAGCAGGGACAACCCGAACGACCTCACGGCACAGGTCAGAAACAGGATACCCTTAATGCCGTTAGCCGTTTTCCTTCGGCAACCAAGAACCTTTCGCCCGCCTATCTAAATTACCGCTACGGGGGAGTTGAGCCCGAGGGGTTTGTCCAGCCC